TAGTGATATTGCTTTGGAAACTCAAGGAGGGGTCGTTATGAGTTGGATCCAACTCAACGGCAGTGAATTTGGTTTTTGGTATATACCAAAGAATATTAGTGGTTACCAGGGGTAGCTCTGGTAGCATAGTGCCTAAGGCACTTGACTGCTAACCAGAAGTCTGGCAGTTCAAACCCACCAGCCACTCATCAGAAGGAAAGTTAGGCAATCTACTTCCGTAGTGATACTGCCTCGGAAACCCAAGGAGGGGTTGCTATGAGTCGGGGCCGACTCGAAGGCACATAACAACAACAACAACAACCAGGGGTAGGAGGGAGGGGGAAAGGGGAAGCTTTTGTTTGGGGGGTGTTGAGTTTATGCTAATAGGTGGTGGAATATTTTGGAAAACGATAGCAATAATGGTGGCACAACATGAAAGATGTCATCAGTGTCCCTGAGCTGTAGACATGGAAGTTGTCATGTTGGTGAATATCTTGTTGTATATGTTTTCACCATAATAAAAGTAAAAATAAACAAACAAACTCTGTGGAACACAGTTCCACTCTGACACACATGGGGTCACGTGAGTCAGAATCAACTCAAAGGCAACTGGTTTGTTTGTTTGTCCTAAATCCACTCATGGTGACCTTCTAAGAGAAAGAAGAGGGAGATCTGGGCAGAGACACGCAAGGAAGACGGTCACATGATGATGGTGGCAGACATTGCAGGGATGCTGCCACAAGCCAAGAAAAGCTGGGAGAGAAGAGGAAGGATTTCCCTAGACGCGTCAGAGGGTGTGTGGCCCTACTTACACCTTCATTTTGGAATTCCGGCCTCCAGAACTGTGAGAGAACATATTTCTGCTATTAGATCAGCTCTGTGGTAGTTTGATCCAGCAGTCAAAGTAAACTAATATACCCACCCTATCTTTTGAAGAGCTATCATCAGTGCTTCCCCATCCAATCCAGGGTTACAGGGGTGATCACATGACCCATGCTGAGCCAATCAAGGTACTCTATTTCTCCATCCCTGGCAATTGGTGCAAGGAGTGGGCATGTGCCTCAAACAGGACCAATCAGAATCTTCACTGAGACTTGAGTTAGGGTTCCTCTTCCTTTTGAATTGAAAGATATAGGTGGCCTTTCTTTCTCTTGGAAGAAGGAGGCAAAAATGAGAATGTGCCAACATGTAAAGAAAAGCAGAGCTACTTAGAGTTGAGTGATGACAGAGAAACTAAGACAAACAGACATTATTTGACTCCCTGGATCTTATTTTAACTGAAGGCAGAAAATATCCCCTGGTCATTCTAGTGTTAGGACCTTGA